CTTTCTCCTGCTAAATGGGAGATTAGACGTGAAATTACATAAAAAATCTCAGTAACGGTTGATCGTAGTATGTATTGGCTTACGCCAATATCTACACATTTGAGGGTGGAACGAGCGCCAAAAAAATGCGATTTCTTTGTCAAATTACCCAAACGTTAAAATTATTTGCCAATAGATTCTTTCAATCAGTCAAATTTGGTACCAGAGTTATTTTCTCGAGAACTGTTGCTGTGCTTTTAATCGAATTGTAATATTTTTTTCGGGTTTTTACCACTATACTGCAATACATGTATTCTGAAATTAAATTTTTCAAAACTGCTCTCATGGGACCACAACTTTTGGCATTCATGCAAACGTTTTTCACTTGAAACTAACTTTCTACAGACAAGGAACCTTCCAAGATAACTTATCAGTCTTTGTTTTTGTGTAAAGTTAGCATATTTGGAGACATTCTCTGCATAGGCAGAGAAAAAATTGCATACGCCTTTCATTTACAAAAAAAAATCTCTTCGGGTTCTTATAGATGATGCACACCTCAAGAGCAATTGAAAACAAAAAAAAACAAAATATCGCTGAAGTGGGCTGAGTGTCATCACCAAAAAATTTATCGGGATTCAATTGATATTGACGAAAACTCAGTTTTTTTTTACTTCTGTACATAGTTTTTGTTCCGACAAGTGAAATTGGGGAGGAACTTTGTATTCAGGTATATTTAAGTTTTTTTCTTTTTTTCCACGGAAAATCAGGTACAACAAAAAATCATCGAAATAGGTCGAGTGATATTTCATATTAAAGCTCTTCCAATTGCAATTCTTACATCATTAAAAAAACACTGAAAAACTTTTCTCAGTGTCGAAAAAAAGTCTTCTGAAGTTTTTGATTTTCGGTCTGTTTCGAGTGAATAAGGTTCAGCGAGCAGAATATATTTCTTTTTCAAGCAAAACATTCACCACAAACAATCCTAATGGCTGAAATGACTTATCATATAAAAGCCATTTCAGATCTGATTTGAACGACGTTAAAAATTTTTCAAAAACAGTCGAAGTTTTTGTGGAAACCTGGTTTCCATTTTTTGAGTTTTTAAGCTTAGATTTTAGGTATTCGTCAGATCTTTTTATCACAACAAGCACAAAAAACGTGACTAAATTGGAGAAAAAAAAACATGAAAGTTTTTTATTCGTTTTTTTAAGAATATGGTCGGAACATTTTGAGCTACTAGCACAGCAACTAGCTTTCGATCCTTTTTTGTAACTGTATCTCTTTTTTCTGAACTCAGACGAGGGCATCTCTTACTTTCAATTAGAGAGCTGGCTGGATTCTCAGATGTCGCAAACCTGCAACCGATTAAACTAATAGTTTCTTTTGAGTGAGTGCTTGATTTATATAGAGATCTCTTAAATACACATGAAAAAATAGTGTGTTTTTCTTCTCCAGCCTCTGATATCTGATTTGAAAATTCAGATGAATCATGTGGCGAAGCAAATACAGATAGTAAGCCTAGTAACGAATTGCCATCCCTTTTGCAATGGGAGAGGGGGCGATCGATAAACATCCATTTTTCTAAATTAAGAAATGTAGCTAGTTGCTGATGGCGTGCTTCAGACATGAAAAGATCAAGTTTTATATTCACTCACGTCATTTATTCCCCGTCAGCAGTCTGCAATTGGGACAGCCTTTCCCCGAGGAAAAAGCGGTACTAATTGAAAAGCGCCTAATTGTAACCGTGTGAAGCAATGCCATTTTTTGCTACAGCTATTTTATTCCGCCATGATGTTGCTTTTAAAAAACTAATAGCCTTCAGAAGACAAATTTACTTAATTGAATTTCTGGAACCGTGACTACGCTTTTAAAAAAAATGCACACATATAAGTTAGATAGAATATTTCGTTAAAAAAGTAGACCAATTTGTTTAAGTATGAAATATATCTTCTATTTTTCCTAGCTGCTTTGTCATTATCAATTTTATATCCAGATTTTTTTAATATCCATTTCCCCCAAATTACCTTCCAAATTACTACGAAGCATCTTCCACAGAAGTACGGTCTGATTTATGAAAAATTAATCAACTTCATTTGAATTCGATCTCCCTTTTTGTTCTGAAATACTATATTGTAATAGATCACATAGTGCCTTGCTTTGTTTTTTTTTGTAAAAAGAGTACACAATAAGGATGAACTCCCTGCGCTATTGAAACACAGTTTGAAATATTCAAGTACCGTGTCTTTTCATCAAAGATTTATTTCATCTCTTTGTTTCATAGTTTTTTATTCGGACAGCGCTCACGGGTTTTGCCTAAATCTATTGTACAGTAAGCCCAATTCGAAATTTGAAGGTTCTGTTTAATCTACGAAAATCCTCCATAATTAGCCAAAAAGAAAGGAAACCGTCCCACCTGAACTAGAAGCTTTTTATTTTGAGCTCACTTCAGCAAAAACTGGTGGAATTCTTCTGACGAGGGTTGAAAAAATCTTTTATTTCACGAACAGTTAATTTAATATGAAAATAGGGAACAATTCTACCTATTCCAGGTTTACGCATTTTGAAGTGATTAGTCACATGCCGTACCTAACAAAAACTTGGAAACCAGATCTGACCGATGTATGTTCCAGGTCTGAATCAGGCCTTGAGCAGGTCTGCATGTGTGACAAAATCCATACCTGCCTTAGTCCTGATTCAGACATGTCCATGTACAAGCAAAACATCCCCCATGTCTGGACAAGATCTGAAATAAGAAAGATTTTAAGATGCTCAGATCTGGTTTCTAAGTTTTTTTTTATTTGGATGGATTTCCGACTGAAATGCATCCGAATCGCACTTAAATCCATCTGAATCTCATTTAAGTCCATTTTAAAGGACCTCAGAGCTGGTCGATTCAAGGGTCTAAAAGGTCCATTTTAAAACATTTTTTTAGGCTCTTTTTGCTCCCCCCCCCCACTTCACACGAGCTTCAATATATATGTGTAATGAGTGGTTTTACGAGGTTGAGTATGAAAACCAAATATTTTTGTCGTTGTTTTATTATTAGCCGTATGTAAATTTTCATTTCAATCGGACAATGTTTTCAAAAAATTTACATGTAAAAATTTTCAGGTGGGGGAAAAAAAGGAAAAACTGCCTTTTTTGTTAACCAGTCAAAAAAACCCGGTATTTATAAAAAAATTTTTGGCTCTTTTCCAGTTTCCCCCTTTCAAAATACCGAGTATTATTTTTGTTTCAAGTGTTATTATGGCTAAATGCGTGATGTTACGATGTAAAGTATGAAGAACAAATCTGTTCACAGTTGTCGATTTGTTCACCACGCCAAATTTCATTGCATTATGACAACGGTAAATAAGCTTTTCAAAATTGAATTTGAAAGGGGGGAAACTGGAAAAAAGCCGAAAATTTCAAATGTTTTGTTTTCAATTTTTCAAATAAAAACACGTGCCAGAATTGGCTCTTTTCCAGTTTCCCCCATTTCAAATTCAATTTTGAAAAGTCTATTTAACGTTGTCACAATGCAATGAAATTTGGCGTCGTGAACAAGTCGACAATTCTGAACAGATTTGTTCTTTATACTTTACAGCGTAACTTCACGCATTTAGCCATAATAACACGTAAAACAAATATAAAACTCGTTATTTTGAAAGGGGGGAACTGGAAAAGAGCCCCAGAATTCAATAATGTGGTCCACATAAATCATATTTTGAGCTCGCAAATAAGCAATGAAATCATAGAAAATTATCATTGTATAGCAGAGGAGTCGATTTTCAAAAATCCGAATAAGTCAATCTTTAATATGCTACTTAATTTTGATTGCCTGAGCTCTCCCCCAACTCTAAGAACAGTATTTTAACAAAAATCTCTGCGCAACTGAAAAAACTTTAACAAAAAAGGGCCAAAATGTCGTTTTAGTCTTTTTGGCGTGTGGTCTTCCCTCTAAATTTTTATATATTGGCGCCAAAATTTTAGTGTTGGGCGGCTAAAATCATTTCAAAATTGTAGGAATGCGGGGGGGGGGGTGTTGGGTGGTGAGGGGGTCGTCACATCCCTAAGGACCGTACACCCCTATAAACCAGCTTTCAACTTGTAAAGCATAACTTTTCCAATTTCGTCCAAATCAACATCAAAAAGAACCTTAGAAAAGCTGGTCACAGTGCTGGTAGCAGAGAATATTCCGTTCACAGTCATCAATGCATTTATGATCCAACAAAATTTTGTACAGAATTTTTCATTTTTCTTTTAAATGAACTAACTATATGTTTTGAAATTAGAAAATAAACAGTTGATTTTTTAGATGAAGTATAACAGTTAAAATGATATTTACCCATCAGACCTTCCAAAGTTTATCTTCAAAAAACCGAACTTTGCGAAAAAAAATCCTTTTTCCCACCCACGGGGTTGGTCGAAACAATAATGAAATCATTTTTTTAAAACTAAAGTACCAACTAATGTAGATCGGTGATCCCAATTTTCAAGTTAAGGTTAAGCGCTAATCCAAAAGTACCATATTCTAGTTTAGGCCATCCTTATTATCCAAAAAGGAACACCATACCCTAGAGATTTAATCGAATTGATAATTTGTCCATTTTCGACCGTGGGTTGTTCTAATGAACCTCTTTACTGACCCTCTTCGGGGCATAGATAATTAGAGGCAAGAATACCTCACTTTCTCTTCATATTTCGAAATGATAAATATTTGGCTTTTTTATAATTGCGAGTTTACCGTTAAAATGTGAGAAAAATCCGATGGTCAATGATTATTTTTCTAATGTTCAACTTCTAATGTTCAACTGCTTCTGATTAATATTTTTTGATCAATTGTTTTTACCTCAAGGATTTTGGACTTTTATGTCTACTGAATAGTTAGCGTGAAGTGCGAGGCCAATCGAAAGAATGAATACAACTAATTTTGAAAAGTTGAAGTTTTGCCGCCAGCAAATTTGACAGTCACGAAAATTAATTGTCACATAAATCAGGGGGGTGTCATCTTGTAAATCTCTAAAAACTATAAATGATAAAGCTGAAACATCACAAGCTAAGGTTTCTTTAAATTTCTGTTATATTGAAACAATTTTCATATTACCTTGTTAGTCCAGTTATCTGTCAGGTATTTTATTTCTAGCTTTCCATTATTTCGGCTCAGTTTACTGCGAGCCAATTGCAGTTGAGCTCATTTCCTTGAAAATGCGCAAGGTCTATTGGTAGTTGTATAGGGTGGGACAGACTAATCCTAAGAAGGAGCATTTCCTTATATTCTTGATATTTTACCCTCCTGGTCCTTCAGTTCTAACTATAACCAAAATAACATAATTATACTGCGTACATTCATTAATTTTATGCAAATTTGAGGCACTCATCGTGTGCAATTTCATTTGGGTGCATTATATTATATTTCTGTGGAGAGTACCTCAACTTCGGTGCGCTTGAAAAAAAAAACAACCGGATTAAAATTTGCGCGGCAAGTTCAATTTCTAGTCGCTCTGGTAAGCCTAAAAATTAAAAACCACGAATGTAACATCATCTGAAAAACTTTGAACGTTTGGTTACCAGATTTTAAGAATGTGCTCGTTTTATACATCCGGGTTGTTGTTGCTATTAATAGTTAACATTGAGCTCAAATTGACTGAGGCAATTTCGAAAAAGGGCAAAGATTACTATTACCTTTACGGTCCTGACGGGTATCCTCGTAGTCAGTCTTTAATCGACAACGAACAGGACGGCATTGAACACTACTCGGGACAGAACTTAGTTCGAGATGTGTTACGTAATAACTCCAGGCACTTTAGACCTGTAAGTGACCAGGCAGTGCGCACAACGGTCCAGTTTAGATTGCTGTTGTACCAGATTTTGGGAGCAAATAGTATCCAGGGCAAGATCCATCTGCACTTCTGGGTGGAAATGCTGTGGAACAACGAACATATCAGGTTAGTTTCTTTTAGATGTAATTGTTTCGCAACCAAGGGGTGAGAAGGAACTTTAACCCAGGGTGTGCTTTTTTAACGCAGAATTAGGACATATTGTAACGTTTTTTGACGTAATCAAAAACAAACGTCATGCGCGGCTTCGAATCAATGGATTTGGAAAAATTTGCGTTCTTTAACGGTCTGATTTTTTTTGCTAAAATTAATTTTAGATGCCACCTGAACATTTTGAACGAAAAATGATCAATGTGCAGGTTGTGCACAGTATTCTGATCACTGATTATTTTTTTTCAGACTAAAAACTAAAATCAAATTTAGTTAATTGAGCTCAATTGGCTCACTCATTTTTTATTACCCACGCTGCCTGTGAAATTGCCAAATTGTTTTTCCGATATTTTAGCGTTTTAAACTAAAATTGAGCTGTGATTTTTTTTTTGCAAAAGCAGCAACATACAACTGAACCTTGCCAATTTGGAGAATTTGGGATAGTTAACGCTTCAGATCTTCCGTGCTAGACAAATTTGAGAGGCAGTTTTTTTATTTGTTCAAAGTCAAATAATTGCAAGCTATGTGGACTTTGTATTTCGTTTATAAACGAAATAAACTTGGTTTTTTCTATAATTTTATGAACAAATCTAAAAAAAAGTTCGTGATATTTTCTTTGAAATTTACATTTGTTTTTCAAAACAAAATTTTTATAGACATTAAAAAGCTTTCAGAACGTTCAAGGATTTACTCTAGTTTGAGCAGATTTGTTTGAATTCTGGCTTCAGTTTTTTAAATAATTTTTCACGAAAAACATATTTTTAAGCTATTAGTTTTATTTGCATCAAGTTGAGCCTTTTGTTGTAATCAGATGAAAAATAAAATTTGAGCAATAAAGTAAATTTTCAGGTTAAATTTTGGTTTCTTTTTCGGGATTTTTCAATAAATGCTTTTTTAAATACAGTTTGCAAGTTCTGAATGAGTGTTTGGTAAAGTTTCTCCTAACAGTGACCTTTTTAGGAATGCTTGCGCTCTAAGTAAATGTTGTGCTATAGTTTTATTTTGCTATTCTTAAGATGAGAATTTAAGTTTTTATAATAAACAAGATTTTTACATATATGGACAATTTAAATTAAGCTTTCAGCAAGCAAAAAGGTTTAGACCATTTTTTTTCTAATATTTTTTGACCTTATCCGCGTCACTTTTTTAGTCTGAACATTAGGTTATCCGGAAAATAATTTATGAATGTTTTTTTTTTCAAATTGGACTACGTAATTTGCTAGATTTTAACCAAAATTATTACGATGCATTTTTTTGCTAAATTAGGGAGCAAATTTATAGCCCAATAATGGGCAACTTTGGCCGTTCGAATTTGTAAGTTTTTTTTCACGGTATCAATAACCATTTTTAACGTCAACTTTTGATAAAAAGGAAATAATGGAACTATTCAGATTCTATTCAACATATTGTTAAGACTACTTACTAATAATTATTTATCATCGTGGTTTGTGTAAATTCACCAACTAACTGCAAAAATTAAATAGTTAACTCGGTAGTGGACAATAATTTAATCGTAATTAGTTTTTATTTTAAAGAAGCTTATGTTTCAATTTATATTCAACCAACTACGTATATTACCTGACTACTAATGTTGCACCCTCCCACGCCCAAAGCTCGATATGAATATCAGCGTAACTGCGTGGCCAGTACTTGGTAGGGGTGGTCATTCTTTCAACTGATGTCCTTTTGACCGCCTGTAAAATTCTCAGTATCGGGTCGGCTTTCATATAAATTGGCTAAATCTTAAGTATTGTGCAGTTTTTTGTACAGTTTTTTATTTATCCATTATTGTAAGTTTAAAAAGACTATGGTTTGTATAAAATTTTATGTTTAGGTGTTTTTATTTTCTTAATTTTAAATATTGCATGTGAAAGGAATTAACTATAAGCCGTCTGAATAAACCATTGATGGTTTGCTGCATGTGAAGAATTTTTGAGCGCACTTTTTAAAGCGTTAAAAGTTTCTGAAAAGTGTTTAGCGGAATTGCCTCACTCGTTTTGACTGAACTGTCTGAATTTAAATTGGCTGAATGTCTCTGATCGAGTTGTATGAACGCGGGAAAATTACATCAAATGAGCATCTTAAAAAATTTCTCGAAAAGTAAACTCTCCTTCCTGAGCTATGAGTCCCGGGTCGTTATGGTTTTATAGTCAAACGGTCGCGGTAAAGTTTTGGTGCTTCCAGACTGCCTAGACCGAAATTGGATTCCGAAAAGCCGAATTGCTTTTTAGTTTCGAGAAAACTTATAGATGATTGATGTTTTCTAGCTGGACTCCTGATAATTTCTTCAATATCTCCCGGATAGATCTCAACCCACATGAGTTGTGGATCCCGGATATCATTTTCTTCACCCAACTGTCTGGCAGTCACTTCAATCAAGACTTCCCCTCCCAGCCCGCTCTTCTGTTCGACGGAATGACCATGGTGCTGAAGCCATTCCGCACAGAGCTAGTCTGTGTCATGGACGTATGGTTCTTCCCCTATGACAGACAAGTAAGCGACCTTTTACTTCCGTCGCTCACTATTACTTTGAACTGTATTTTTAAGAATGTAGAAAATAATTACATACCGAGTCAATTTGAACCAGAGCTCAAAAGAACTACTAAACCTATATTCATAAGTGTTTTATATAATTTTTTCATGAAGTATATTAAATTTTTCACAAACTAGTGGGCAGTTTACTCCATCAATTTCAACCAAAAAATCAATTTGTTTAATGATTGAGTTTTTTTTGTTAAAAAAGACGGAAGAAGGCCTAGAAACAGCATATATGAAATCAGATTGAATATAACTGCAGCGAAATTTTTTTTTTTTCCGAATACTAGAATTCGTCGCTCGGGGCAGTATTTTGTCATTCCAACAGATCTTTAAAGAATTTTTCGAATGAAATAAAAATTTTTAAGCAAAACGAAATTAAACAAAATCAAGTACGGCTACAATATTTATTTATTGTCTAGTGCTATTGAGTGAAACACTAGTTCATATCAGGTGTGCGAGTTCGACGTGGGATCTTGGGCTCACACTTCTTCCGAGGTGGACATTCGGCCCAAGGAGGAGGGCGCGGCTGACATGATGTTCTTCCAAAAGAACGCCGAGTTCGACGTACTCTCGTTCACAGGCAGATACAAAGTCTACAAAGGTTAGAAAGGTTCATCGTGAAAAACCTTTCTCTCATAATCAAATCTTTTTGCTCTCTCATAATCAAATCAAATCAGTGTTCTAGCAAAAATTTCATCAAAACAAGATCTTAGATTACTAATAATTATTTCATTACATGGCCTTCATTTCTCAAAAAAAGAGAAAATTTTTGTATTCTCTGAGCCAAATTTAGATTGAAAATTATCAAAAAAACCTGTCAAAAAATATATTACAACTCAAAGAACCTCTGGGCATGTTAATATACGCGATTAGGACATTTACCGATTTAGATAGAAGGCTCGCTAGGCTGATTCTTTGCCACTTAGAGCCATTTGGATCCCAACACAAAAAGGGAAAAAGACGTTAAACTTGATTCGCAGTGTTGATTCTCTGAAGGCTTTCACTATTCATCCTCATTATGATAATCATTTTTAATCGGACATTGTTAATTTTTTAGAGCCACATTTGAACTCGGCTGGCCCCGACATCCAACTTCCTTTCGTATTCAATGACACTTCTGGACATCGACACCCCTTCTCGCTGGAGAGCAGGGAGGCCCATAGGGCAGATTTCAGCTGCCTCTCGTTCAGTCTCGTATTCGAACGGAAGCCCACTTATTACCTGCTGAATGTCATCCTACCCAGTGTACTCATCAACTTCCTCTGCGTGTTCAATTTCCTCATTCCTTGCGAAACAGGAGAAAAAGTGAGTTATTTGAACAACGCAGTGAAATACAAGAACAACGGATCGAGAAACCGTGACTAGTTTAAAAGTTTAGTTGGGATCTCATACTAAGTTTGCCCAATCAAACCCCAACTAACTGAAAAAGGTATCGATTATTAATTAAGACTACAGGGAGATAATTTTGTTAGCTTCTCGCATTAATAATGATATATTTGAAAAATCGCACTATATATGATTCCATAGAAGCCGAAAAAAAATCATCGCCGACATGAAAGCTAATTTTTCAATGAATTTTTGTAATGAATCCGAAGTATGATTTCTACTCTTCAGGGATTTGACCCCTGGCGATCCAATGGGTCGTATCTCTGAAACTTTTTTAGGACATCCACTTTTGGGTAACCGTCTCCAAAAATTTTCTAAAAACGCTTTTGAAGCCAATATACTATTTTTGGTTGAAACCTTCCAAAAAGGCTTAAAAACATCGTGTTGACCTGGTTTTTCAAAAATTTGCCTCTGTTGCGAATGTTTTTTTTCGAAAACTTGCCCCTCCCTTGGAGAAAACCCTAAATCCGCCACTGCTTTCTAAGAAACCATATATGAATCTTTGATGTTGGCAAATGTGGTTTCTAAGAAAAATTTTGGCAAAACGACCTAATGCTTCAATGCTTAAATAAGAGGCTGACGATATTTAAAATTAGCAAATGTCTAGAAATCTACTTGAAATAGCTACTAAAAAGTTTCGAGCTGCTCTCAAGAGGCGATAGCATGATTTAGCATGATGAAACTTTTAGCACAATTTTGAAAAAGTTTGTATTTTAAATCATCATATATATGCTTGGCAAAATCTTAGATTGAAAAAAGAGCGAGAATTCGTTTTCAATAATTAATAATTGTTTGAGCAATTTGGATCTGGCTAGAAACTTTTCACCGTGAATAATTTAAGTGGTTGAAAGTTCGGACTTGTTTTTTTTTTACAGATATAGAATATCATGCCGATATAAACATTCAAAATAATTCGTGCTTCACATAGGAGACTCATGATAATTTTTGTGTTTTTTTTTGTGTGTGGGAGAATGAAAATACACGCTATAGTTCATCGACTACTCAGATTTTCTACCTTTTTGATATCGCAGCTTGCCAAATAAATCCACTAAACCACAATTATTCTTGTATAAAAGCCAGTCGCGCAATTATCATAAATGGAGATGGTTCATTGATTCACTGATTCTCATTGCATGTTAATCCTTTTTAGTTTATTGAGGTCAACCCGGGTTTCCCTTCGATCTCAGAAACTGGCGTTCCTAGAAAAATGGCGTTGCATTATTTTGCAGCTACGAGCAATTAACAATTTTTTTTGCGCCTTTTCCGTTGGTTTTAGGCCTTGAAATAAATAATTTTGAAGTTGCCTCGCAAAATTGGTCTTTTCATTGTGAAGAAAATGAAAGCTTTCAAAGGAAAATTTACAAAATTCTCAGGGTGTTAATTTTAATCTGGAGTTTTCGAACAGATTTTGTTTGTTTTACTGTCTAAGTTGAACAGAAGTTATGCCAATTAGCTCACTTTCACATATGTTTATCTTAACGAATACTGTCATTAGACAGACCATTTTATAATGCCATTTTTGTTTTAACAATGATCAAGCAGTCAACTTTGTTTAGAAACAAAGACTGATTTTGCAAAAGGACACTGTCTAGGAAGTTCTGCAACGCATGAAGTAACACAACCATTTCACCAACAATCTAAAAGGCTTTATCGCAGAGGTTAAAGCGTGTCTGCATTATTTTAAGGCTTATCAAAGTTTTAAAGGATTATTCATAGGTTTTTATTCTAATTTAGGTAACTATCAGCGGATACATAGAAAATCTTTGGTTGCATTTTTTTCTTGTTACTTTAAGTTTGCATCACTTAATTTAAAAAAAAATTTCTTAAAGTCAACGCAAGGTGGCAAAGCCTAAATCTCTTAGTTCTGTTTCTCTTTCAAGGTTTTGAAGACTTTTTGAAGTTGGTTGATTGATTTAGGTTGCTAGCTGTCTGGGATAATTTCAGTCCCCAAAAGTGGTGAGATTAGGCGGAGCGTAACTACTTGAGATATTTGCATCTAACAATAGAAGACCAGCAATGATTTATAAATTTCGCTGATGTTCATGTGGCTCCGAAAAAGCATTCAAACTAAACATCCCGAACATAATTTCAGATGCAAAATTTGGACTACAATATTAATTTGAAAAAGTAAGAATGGGTAAAACAAATTATGACTTAAAATATGGCTCGGAATCGGCAAGAATGGATCGAAAAAATATAGTAGCAAGCCATGAAGTGGATAAAGTTGGGCGGCTGGCACTTTCAAGGCTGCCAATCAAATTTTTTTAAAGGGTCCCTTTCAATTTTTTGATCAATTAATCATTTAGAAAAAAAAAGAAGAAAAACAAACATTAAAAAATCATCTCCAACAAGCTATGTGAAGAAAAAAATGAAACGTTTTGCGTCTAGAAACGTGTTACTAGAAACAAACTGCTTCATTGCACTGCATGTCCAGCCCTCTTTAAAAAATCAAAAAGCAAAACAAACAAGGATAGCCGGTCGCTGTAAAAGTAGCGCAGAATGTTCCGACCATATTCATATAAACTACAGCTAAAGATTCTTCAAATTATTATGTTCTTCAAATTAGTAACGTTTTTAATACGTGTATTGATGATAAAACTATACACACGCGTAACAAGTTGGTAAATTAGGCACAATCGACAACAGTTATCTTCAAAAAAAAAGAATTACAAACAAAAACATGAAAAAAAATTTAAAAACATTTCTATTTATTTTCAAACAATATTTTTTTTCTTATTTGTGGCCAAGTAAGCGCCAGACATAGCTTTCAAAACTGGATTCCATCGGAAAAGTTAAGTTTTTTTAAGCTTAAATGACCAATTTAACAAGTCGTCTTCAGTTTATTCTGTCGAAATAAGACGGAAAAAAAAATCAAACCGGTTTCTCTCGACTCTGGGACTTTTTGAAAGCTTATTAACGTCAATCGAATGATGACTGAGACTTTTGTATGATATATCACTCAATATAATCCGATGCTTTTTTGTGGTACCTGATTTTGCGTGAAAAGCAAAAAAAAAGAAAAAAAAAACAAACAAACCCAAAACAAAGTTACTCCTCATTTTTAATGGTCGGAACAAAAATAGTGCACGCAAAAGTATTTATTGCAAAAATAAGTTGACATCTATCGTTCCTCGTCCACTCCAAATCAAAAAGTGATAACAGGACGCCAGTAAAAGCAAGTAAAAGAAATCTGAGGCTTGATGAAATGCATTCTGCTTCTTTCTACCATATAAAACTTGATGCAATATTGGAATTTTGATCTTCGTACTCATTTCATTTCCAAAACCCCAAATTCTGTGCTACAGATAATGAAAAAAAATACAATCAATAGACTTGATTGAGTCAATACAGACAAATTTGGTACCAATGACCAATTTATCAAATTGTACTCTCTGTGCTGCTCTTTAAATGTTTCTTCTCGCTAAGCTACACAAAAAATTGATCAAAACACTGATCTCAAAGACCGGTTTGGTTAAAACAAATGCAATCACTTAATTTTCAGTCAATTTCTAACTAGGTCGAACTTTGAGCAGTGAAGGCGGCCATTATTTCCGGAGCGTTTTTCTGTATTTTTTCTGGTCTGAGCAAAACTCTGCATCTAACTAGAGGCCCAGCTAAAGCTAGAGGTACCTATTTAATTGATAAGTTATTTTCAGTTGTTCTCAGGCGAGATGAAATAGGTAATTTCAAAACGTTAAAAATTTAGCTTCACCCAAAACTTAGTTATAGCACTATTAAAATTTGAGGGAAATTTTCGTATTTTTAGAATTTTACCAGAGACATATTTTTCTGAACAAGTCTTAGAGCGTATCATCATATAGACGGAAGGTTCCCACAACCTGTTCCCTCGACTAAATTCTTGATATCAGATTGATTTATGTTCGAGAGTATTCAAAGTTTCAAAAAACGGACAAGAAATCAAAATATTTATTTTTCCGATGTCATAACTTACTGTGTAAAAAAATTCGGCCGAAACTGCTTATTTATTGGGTTACCCACAAACTACTCTACCCGTTGAAACCAAAATCTCAAGATTTGGGAGGGTAGTTTTTGATAAAAGTGAAAAAGTGTTTTAAAAAAAAGGAAAAAAATAGAAAATTTGACTTTCCGAGAGCTAATAACTTTTTTGTAGAAAATTGGGTGTAGCCGCTGATGCACGGAAATTGATAACAACCGTTTTTTTGACGGAAATCAAAAATTCAGTTTCGGGAGTGAAGTTTTTGAGAAAATTCAAGAAGTTTCAAAAAACGCTCAAAAAGTGGAAAATTTGACTTTTGTGAAGGCTATAATTTTTTTGTTTCGAAAACCGTTTATGCAAGGGAGCTTTCGGCAGTCCGTTTTACTCATAGAGCCAAAAACATCAGATTTGAAGTGGTAGTTTATGAGAAACTGAAAAGTGGGCGGACTTTTCATTGGTAATACTTTAGGAAAAAGTGAAAAAAATTTCCAAAGCGTCTCGATAAAACAACTAAAAAACCCGATTTTAATAATTTTGTCATAATATCTGTTTTTATCAAACAGGAAAATGAAATAATTTTTAAATATAAGTTTTACATTTTGGCGAGTTCGGTTTATGAGTAAGTTGACTTAAGAATGTGAACAAAGTATTTTATGGATGTTGCTGAGTTTTGATTGGCTAAATTAGCTCCACCCACAAAAATATTATATATTGCCGCCCAAAGCGCCTTCAGAACCTTTTTAAAATCCATGAGCCAAAAATGGATATCTCAAAAAAATTCAAAGGGGGGACCCTTTGGGTCGGCAGGGGGTAAGGCGCCTTCAGAACATTTTTAGGGTCCATAAGCCAAAAATGGATATCTCTAAATAGTTCAAAGGGTCCACCCCCAGCCCCCCATCTAAATCCGCCTCTGAAAAAGAATCAAGTTGGGGGCCAAAACTATGTTAAAAAACCATGAATTTGGTCAACATAATAGTTTTTGAGCACAAAAAATGCAATAAAATCATAGAACGCTATCGATATGAATCAGATTTTGGGCCAAAGCTATTTTAAGAAATCATAAATTTGGCTTTAATAGATTACATTTTGAGCACAAAAATATGCAATAAAACCATAGAACGCCATCAATATGAATTATTTTTTGGGCCCAAACTATGTAAGAAAACCAGGGGCGGATCTAGGATTTTCTCGAGGGGGGGGGGGCGGATTTTCAAAAAATTTTCCAAAATTTTGACGACTTTTTTTTTTTTTTTAGGTCGACCAAATTGATTTTTCGAGCTCTCCCAAAGCACTGTTTTGCCCCTACTTTGGCTAAATTTTCTGCGCCGCAGGCAAATTTTTGAAAAAACAGTCAGAAAAGCCGTTTTCGGGCAATTTTTGAAAAATTTTGACAAAAAAATCGCGTTTTTTTGGCGCGCGCTCCCCCTCAAAGTTAGTATATATTGGCGCCGAAGGCGCCTTTAGAAAAATTTTAGGGTCGGTCGGCCAAAAATGGATTTCTGAAAAAGTATCAAAGGGGGGACCCTTTGGGTCGGCAGGGGGTCGAATCCCTGAGGGGGGGGGGGGCGTCCGCCCCACCCCCCCCCCCCCCGCCCCCGCCCCCCCCCCCCCCCCCTAAATCCGCCCCTGAAGAAAACCATGAATTTTTTTCTGTTTTTTTTTCATTGTTTTTTTTCTGATATTGCTTGTATTTCTCCCTGCATAAACAGTACTATGCAAAAATTATCCCACCCTAGAAACATTTCGATAAATTTTTGATATTTTCAGCTTTTTTGTGCAAATTTATTCTGTTGCTTGAAATTTTTTTTTGTTATTTTGTTAGAAATAATTTTTTTTTTCTGTATTTTCAGCATTTTTTCTGATATTGGTTGTGTTTTTCCCACGCATAGACCATACTTTATAGTACCTATACCACCCTAGAAAAATTTCGATACAATTCGGAGAGTTTTAGCTTTTTCGGCATTTTTTTAGTATTTTTGTAAAATTTGCTTATTGTAACGACACGTGACAAGAAATTAAAAATTTTTAGCTTCAATTCGAAAATTTCATTTTTTTAAATATATTTTATTAATAAACTAAATGAGCCTACAAAAACGTAGACAAAAATTGATTTATATCGACTTAAATTAATTTTGTTTTTTGCTCAAAATTGGATGAAAATGAAACCAATTTACTAGACAGAAAATGGTTTTAAATCAATTTAGCATCGGTTGAAATTGATTTTTAAACGTAGAGGAGGCTCGATATGGCGGTTAAATATGGCATCTGTTGAATTTAAAAAGGCACTTATTGCGTTTAGCTGGCACTCGGTGTTTGGTGTTTGTAGGTGACATATGGGATGACAGTGTTCCTGGCCCAAAGTGTGAATCTGATGGTGGTGAGTGAGATGGTCCCCCAAGGAGGCATCTCAGTCCTAGGCCTCTTCCTACTCCTCTCCCTCTTCATGATTGGTCAGTCACAAGTCTCTATTTGAATTAATTTAAATTACACGCCTACATTTTTAGTAGCCGTATAAAAAACACTGAAATGTTGAACATACCTTAGGTATTTTAGACCCTACGAAACAATTTTTGAAAAATTTTTGGCAAATGCAGAAAAAGCGTGCAATTTTTGATTCAGCTGCAATTTTGGAGCTCTTCAGCTGTCCCGCACCCCTTTTGCGGGTAGATTTCTTACTAGATATTGAAAGTTCACATACAACATATGCCTAACCGTTAAATCAATTCTCTAAGGGGGACATTCAATACCAATAACCATACGTGGAGGGGGGGTGATACCTAAAATATCCTTTTTTCAATCGTTTATTTTTTTTGTTGCAGATCTGTGTTTTGTGGCTCTGTTTGGGTGTTGTTATTTTTTCTCGCTAGCTATCTTGCAAATATCGGATGGCGATAAAATTAGGGTTATTTGGTTCAGGAGTTTTGAGTTAAATCATGACATTGCGGAACTAATTGATTGTCTTCTTTTGCTCTATTTTAAAAAAAATCCAGTCTGATTTCAGCTCATAGCTATTAAACTGCAGGCTATTTTTGACTTCGTACAGTCTCACATTTACGTCTGCATTGACTAGTACTCTACCCTCATTTCCAGTATAACTTAATTAGTTGTTAAGACCCTAGGGGTTGGGTTAGGGAAGGGATTGGTTGAGGTAATGAACTATTTCAGCTAATCAACCTACTTAAAAATATCTATGTGCTATATGCATCATTTAATCCCCAACGGGAACGACCTGAATCGTCAGAATAACCTTATCTGCTAATTAACCTGTCTATGCGAACAAGATTTATGGTAACCTTATATGAATTTTGACTCAGTTTTCTACAAATCAAATGGCTTATTTTTAATGTGATGTCAGTCTTATACTTGGTTACTGGCAGAGGCCTGTTTACGGACGAGAGAGGAATTGCGATGTTGATGCAATATTGTCCTCCTTTCAAGCCTGTTACCATTTTTCAAACCGTCTTCTGTTGGCGCCGTTTTTCTCTGTGGGAGGTTGGGTAGGGTCTATTTTAGTTATTCAGCTCAGAAGAATGCAAATCTCGTTGATTTATTACCCAAAGTGATGTTCGGTCTGGCTTTGTTTGTTGGTTTGATTTCAGCCAATCATGTTGATTTGCAAAATTGGGGGCCGTAAACGAAACAGATTCGGGGGTTTTGCATGACGGAAAACTTGGCCATCATTAAAAACCTTCACGAAAGTTTTTTGATGCACTGACGAAGATATTTAATTATTTTTCAGATGTTTTTGGGCGGAGAAAAGCTATTTTTTTGGCGCGCGCTCCCTCCCTAAAGTTGGATAAGTTTGCTGGATCGACCAACAAAAAATGGCCTAAAATACTCAAAGGGTGGATTTACAGAATCGTTTCTCAGTCAAACTAGAACCACCTAGAACTGGCATAAAAATGTGTGTCAAAAATGTCTCTTTACTTCGTTCAAAAATCTCTTCGCTCAATCTGACGATTATGAAACATTTAATGTGGACCACAGGTGAAAAATAAAGCAACATTAAATGTACGTGTTAACCTTTTTTAAGCAACAGAGTTGTTCAAGAGCTGAACAGAGCCGATTCTTCAGTTTCTGTAAAAAACGTAAATTTCATTTTTTCAGCTCTATCCCTGTTGATGCAAGTACTCACAATGTGCATATTCTTCTCCAGCATCCATTGTCGGGCATCCCCCCTCATGAGGCGGATGGGGGAGCAGATGCGGAAATTAGTTGGGCCTAAAGGTCCCTACAATCTCCTCAACAACATCTATTGCCCTCAACCTATTTCACCTCTGGTATATAACTCAGTGGAGGCTAATCAGGAGGATAAAGAGAGGGTATATATGACGTCAGAGCTCGGTTCCAAAAAAGAATCTGGCGCACCTAGTCCGGAAACAGAAGCATTCTTACCAAATGGTGGCAATAACCAAACTGCAAACATTTCCTCGTGGGTTAAGTTAGTAATCAATTCGATTGCTTCTAAATTTGTTATATTTCTTATTGTTCGAGTGTGTTTTGTATTCGGGTGTGTTTTACTTTGTATTCGGGAGTGTTTTAGTTTTTTTTTTGTTTTCCACGCAAAATCAGTTACTATAAATAATCATCGGACTGGGTCGAGTGATATATCATATTAACGCCCTTTCAGTCGTGATTCCAACCTTAGTAAAAAAAGTTTTAGTGTCGAGAAAAACTGGTTGGAAATTTTTTGTTTTCTATGAAAGTTACTTTCGTTATGAGTGAAATTTACGTTCGTTATGTATGAAAGTTGCCAATTTAGGATAAAAGTTGGTATTTTTTAAACAAAAAGAAAACATAGTTAAACAAGAAAACTCTAGCAAAATAAAATCTTTCGAAATTATATGACGTTTTTAGTGCAAAAAAAATTTAAAAAAAATTTTTTATTTATTTTTTTGAAGACAATTGTAGTCGTTTATTAACCGGCAACCGGCTCTCCTTGTTTTTATTTTGATTGGTAAGTTTCATTATATTTTATGTTCAACACGGAATTTCTAAGGACTTTAGATTCACATTTCTGTTAGTCGACTGTTGTTTTGGGTTTAGAAATGGGTCTACTGTTCTTGACCCGAAAGAAGCACTTGAAGCACAATGGCTGGCGGCAGCTTCTCAAGCCGAAGTAAACAACATCAAAAGCAAATTACAAGAAGCATCGACCTCCAAATTTGTGCATTTTAACGAGAAGAGCTTCTCCAGTCGCAATCAGAACCAGCGCGCCACTTTCGGAATCTTCAATCATTACACTGACTATTCAATGTATAACGAGGACTTGCGTGAAAACGATCGTCCAATGACCATTTCAACTGCTCGGCGAAGATCAAGTGGATTTCTTCCTTCTGATATTTTCCAGTACGACTTCAAGCAAATTGAGAAGCAGCGCGGAAGCGTCGCAGTGTGTACTAGGTATTCGGACGCTTACAGCGACTCGGACCCCTTCAGCTTCGGCAGTTCTCTGATGCCGACAGCTCGGAGCAGAAATGGACGTCGACATAGTTTGCGCGGCGATCAAGGCCGACCTGACAGTCAAATTATTTTTGAATGGAGACTGCTGGCTAATATTCAGAATAGAGTCAACACGCTTGTTTTTGTAATCGTTTTAGCAGTTATTTTGATTTTGTATTACTACTTCCATGCGCCACCACCACTCAATAGTCAGAAGACAAAATAATGCAAACTTTATTACGCTTGCGATAAGCAAACGTTATCAAAGCGGAATATATACTTTTTTTCGGGTTAACAATTTGTTTAAAAGAAAAATATTCCGTTTCAAAAAAATTGTCGACTTATTATTTGTCTGCTTATTTTCTGTCAGCTTAGATTTTTTTTGCTGGATGCAGTTTTCATTTTAGTTGTTTTTATGTTTTCATGTACTCCTGCAATTTGTAATTCTACTTGGCTTCGTTTACTTTCTTTTTTGTTTTTTTTTGCCTGAAAATATTTCGGCGAAATAGTTGTCTGCTTATCTGTTGTCGGCTTTAGTTTAGTTGTTCGATCTTGGAATCGTTTTTCTGATGTTGCGCTTGGTTTTTGATTTACTTGGCGGTAATCAAGTGTGTTTACCAATTGGTTTGTTGAAATTTCTTTTTTCTTTCGTTAAGAAAGTTATTTCCAAATTTATTGGATAAATTTTAGTTTTCTGAGAAACTTCTACCCAATTTCAAAAAAGGAGTATGCAAAACCGCCTACTCCTTTGTGTGCCTGCAAACCCCTAAGAGTCTCGTTTTACTTGAACCTTATGTCTACCAGCTTTGAAAAAGTGTCTCCGGAAAATTTGACCTATTTTTTTGAATTTTTTTTTCGTTTTATCGAAAACTACTTCTGTGAAATCTGAGGTTTTAGTTTCAATGAAAAAAAAAACAGTTCTGAAAAATTCTTTGCATGAGGGGCTACGCCCAATTTTCTACACATAAAGTTATGGCCCTTGGAATAGTCAAAGTTTTCCTTTTTGACCATTTTCTGAATCATTTTAACTTTTCTCGAATACTAAACGCTCAAATCTGATATAATGGGATCGCAGAAGATAACGGATAGTGGAAAGTTCTCATGATTGAGCGGCCACTCATAAAATTTTGTACAAAAAAAATTCTCGCTATCGAAAAAGTCGAAATTTTGATAACTTGAGTTTCTTTATCTTTTTGAATATTCTCGAAAATCGAAAACTACCGTGCCATATCTGGGATTTGTTGTCAATTCAAAAAACGAGTTGCGAAAATCTAATTGCTTACGCGTCTACCTCAAAATTTTTCTAACATCAAAACTATCATTGAGAAATTCAAAATTTTGGTGTTTTCGATCGTTTTTTATTGGGAATTTTGACTTTTCTCACTAACTACCCTCTCAAATCTGAGATTTTGGATGCCATCGAAATTACAGGTTGCTTATATCTCTTCTGCATAAGCGGCTACTCTTTTTTTTCACACAAAAAGCTATGGTTTTTGGAAATGTCGAATATTTGATTTGTTGATCGTTTTTTAGACTTTTCTCGCTAACTATACTGCCAAATCCGATATCATAGGTTTAATTAAGACAGCAGGTTGATAAAATTCTACCTCTATAATTGGCTAGACTCAAATTTTTTTTTATAAAAATTTATCGACTCAAAACAAGTCAACGTTTTGGAAATTTCTTCTATGCGAAAACTACCGTGCCAACTCTCAGGTTGCTGCGTTCAATTGAGAAACTCGATTTTGAGAATCTTTTTTGCTTAAGAGTTCACAACCTGCTTTTTGCAGAAAAGAAGTAACGTATTTTGGAAAATTTGTTGACCATTTTTTGAATTTTTAGAATTTTTTTTTTACTTTTCTTATATTTACACAATCAAATATGAGATGAAAAGTCTAATTGATGAAACTGATTGCAATAATTGTTCCCACAGAAGCGGCGACTCCTGTATTTTTTGGTAAGAAAAATGTTATCTCCTTGGAAAAACTGATTATCTTAAATTTTTTAAACTCTTCTCACTTAATTTAGAAGAAAAACAACTAAGGTTTTGGGCAAAGTCCAACTTTTGAAATCTCATTTTTCGCTCCGCATCAGTATGAAAAATTCATTCAATATCCAACACGTACCTCCAACTATAGCTGGGACCCTAGTTGTTTCTAATCATTGGAAAAATTTTTCCATCATCACTTGGAAAAATTTTGGTTCATCTTGTTTTTTTTCAACATTTAAACTCTTTTCTTGACCTATGTTTTTTTGTTATGCTTGTGTTTTATCGCAAGTAGTGCAAAGCTCCGCTTCGCCTCTGTTTTGAAGGTGCTTTTTTTGTTATTCTATTGATTGAAAAAATGTATTTTTGATGACTACAAACAGTTTTAAAACTAAAAAATTCAGACCACTTGTAACCGGAATCCAAATTACGGCTGAAATGGCATTAAAATGCTGCTACACTTAAACCCCTACGCGCTTACTTTGATCTATCCAAAAATGGTACAACAACACCCATTAAGCTTTAGTTCCCTGCTACCCCAGTAAATTGGTCGGAAGATAAACATTGACAGAGCGTTAAAAAGCAAAGAAGAAGTTAGTCGAAATAGAAAATGCATCCAAAAAATTATGTAAACACCACTCGATAGGCAGGCAATTAACTGTTTTCTTAGTGTTTTACTAGACGAGAGATTTTTCGATAAATTTTCTAAATTGAAAGCAAACTTCCCCTCTTGAAGTTAAGTTTTTATATATTTTTTAGGCTTGTCGTTTGCACAATTTTTTGTCTGCTAGTTTTTGAAGTAGTTAGTTTATGTTTCATCAGTTAAGTGATTTAATTTTGCCACATTTAAGTTTTAACTGCCCTCCTATTCACCTTTTTAAAAAACAAAAGTATTTAAAGCTCTAAACTTCAAAATTTTTAAGCTGCTTTTTTGTCTTGACAACAATCTCTTTTTTTCGCTCAAGGGAAATTAACCTTATACTGTCGGCTCAGCTGCCACTCGACAAAACTTTCAAAAAAACTCACGCCGGCAATTGCGTTCATTATGTAGCGAATATGGCAGAACAAAAGTATGTCTGGAACACTATTCGATAAACATGGAAAAACTAAATAGCAATCACTTTAGTTGGAACCAATTCTATTCCTATAATTTGATCTCTAGCGAGATCTCTATCAAAGTTAAAAGCAAAGCAAGGATACCTGGTAATTGTACAAGTAGCACAGAAAGTTACGATCGTGGTCTGTAAAACGCTACACAAAAAAAAAGTTTTTTTTTTTGAAAATAGTGTTTTTTCAGTGGTTTTATAAAAGGATCTGACGTAAAAAAATGATGATTTAGGCATGTTCGATAGTCCTAGTAAAAAATCAGATTAAACAAAAAGAGAAAAAATCAAAAAAAAAGCTTAAAAAATTCAAAACTAACTTTTTATTCAAATTTTTTTGCTCTTAACTTATGGAAATTTTTGGTCCCAAAAATGGCAATAAAAACTCGGCATACACTAGGCATAAATAAGCTGTTTTAAGCCTGCTCGCTTGCTCGCTTAAAAATTTTAAACCACTTTCTCGATACTGAGAAAAATTTTTGAAGTTTTTAAATGTCATTCAAATCAAGATTGAAAGGGCTTTAAATTGGTATATCATTCGTCATAACCCGATGATTGTTTGATTTGCGTGAAAAACAAAAGGAAACAAAAAGCAGAACAACTAAAACACACCCAAATACAAAGTTCATCCTTTTTTTTTAAAAAAAGTTGAACAAAAAAAATCCATGACATTGTGTCTGACAATGTTTTTGTTGAATAAAACCTGTTAGAATGGCATTGATCTACCTATAATTTTCTCAGCAAATTTTGATAAATTGTTCTCTGTTTTCTGATGATCTTCTCCAGGGGCGGATCTAGGATTTTCTCGAGAGGGGGGGGGGAATTTCAAAAAATTTTCCAAACTTTTGACGACCTTTTTTTTTTTTTAGGTCGACCAAATTGATTTTTCGAGCTCTCCCAAAGCACTGTTTTGCCCCTATTTTGGCAAAGTTTTCTGCGCTGCAGGCAAATTTTTGAAAAAACAGTCAAAAAAGCCGTTTTTGGGCACTTTTTGAAAAAATTTTACAAAAAAAATAGCGCTTTTTGGCGCGCGCTCCCCCTCAAAGTTAGTATATATTGGCGCCGAAGGCGCCTTTAGAAAAATTTTAGGGTCGGTCGGCCAAAAAGGGATTTCTGAAAAGTATCAAAGGGGGGACCTTTGGGTCGGCAGGGGGTCGAATCCCTGAGGGGGGGGGGGAGTGCGTAAGCCCCCCCTAAATCCGCCCCTGATCTTCTCACTCTTTCCTATTTGCCAATCAAGAAACCAACCGCGTATTCACTACACGACAATCGAACACTTTTAACCTTTTTTAGTTTTGACTGGTTGCGTTTGAATTCAATTTGTCAGTTGTTTATTTTTCTTGTTCAGTTTTTCATTATTTTTTAATACGTCTAGTACGTCATTAGTAATTCATTAGTACGTCTAGCGCTGAATCAAATACCTGGAGTTTTTAGGAAAAGAATATAACATTTACTATTTATGGGAATGTCTGAATCTTCACCCGATAACTATGGAAATGTCTGAATCTTCACCCGATAACTGACATAAAATAAGACTTCTGGTATCAGAGCAAAGTTTTAGAATTTCAGACAACTTTGTAAAGAAAAGTCGTCTTATGAACCAAAAAAATCTTATGAACATCCTTCCGACCTCGATAAAAAACCGCAACTATCTGATTAAAACATTTCAAAAATTAACCAAAAACAACTTGTTTGGCATGCTCACGTCGGCGCAGAAAACTGAGTCAAAATAAAGTCTTTACGGTGTTTTAAAAGATCTCGGAAAAGTTTTTTTGTCGATCTGGAAAAAAATCATCAAAAAAATCTTATGAACATCCTTTCCACCTCAAGAAAATGCTAGATTCGGTAAAATGAGCACTTTAATTAACTCAAATTAACCAGGATAGTCGCAACATTAAACCCCAATAAATTCATGAAAAGTGATTACAGGTGAAATATCTTTTAATTTTGAGCTCAATGCATCCATATTTTTCAGATTCTATTTTTAAAAATTGGTCAAAAATTGCTTCTTAGAATATCAAAACTTGTCTGGAGATAGAGCAATACCAAGCCCAAATGTCCCGTCATTTTTTAAAGTCGTAACAATATGCGAAAGCTCAGATGAGTGAAAAAATGAGTACTGCAATTTTATTGAGTGGTTTTTTGCATATTATATCATCATTTTATACACCATACGTCTATCTTCTATGCTTATGTTCAGCCTATACTTTAGTCAAAGAGATAATTGTTCCAACAGTTTTACCAAATGTGCAATACTCTCCATTCATCGTGACATGTAGTTGACGGCGTAGCCTAAAACGGTTCGCTGGTGCTGGAAGTTGACAGAAAAGAACAATTCTTCGAGTGAGGCGCGTATTTTCGTATGCGTAGATCGAGAGTAGTGTTTTTTGTCCAGGGATTCCACGTGTAATTGAAAAACTTGGGGTTTGCACTCGCATCAGACGGAGGCATCAGGGGCTGAACTTGTTTCATTTCCCAAAACTTAATTCGCTCCAGGATGTTTTCTTTTACCGATAGATATTTCTTGTCATCTATCAGGTTGTAGTACTCGCAAGGGTCGTTTTCGATGTCATACAAGCATTCATTCAAACCACTTTTCTCCGAGAAGCACCTGAGGTCGACTTTCCGTGTACGAGGCACCGGTTCGCATGTTATCTGAGAAGGCGTTGTGTTTGGAATCATGGTTTCATTGGCGCCTGGACACTCTCCAGGAGCTTGGTACCAGTCGTCGAAATTCTTGTTGAAGAAGTCATTCGGGTTTAACAGATATTTATACTTGCCAACTCTCATGCCTTTTGAGCATTCGGCTGGATCGAAGTTAATGACAAATTCCGTTCTTGGCGATGTTACATTATTGCCTGTCAAAACGTTTGTCATGTCATAGCTGTCAATATCGTCTAAATCCGCAACATTTCCCCCTGCAAAGCTATAGAGAGTCGGATACCAATCACTGATATGCATCATTTCAGTAGAAACTTGCCCTGCTCGGTTTTTGATCGGTTTCCCCCAAATGAGTCCGGTAACTCGAACTCCCCCCTCGTAAAGAAATGCTTTGACTGACCTCAATGGGAAGTTACTTCCCCAGTTGTCAAACTGTCCGTTGGCTGTTCCACCATTGTCAGAACTGAAGATAATGATTGTGTTGTCGAGGACTCCTTGAGACTCCAAAGATGCTCTGACTTGTCCTACAAGCGTGTCCATTTCTGACAGCATGCCCAAATACTTTCTGCGCTGAACGTGATAAGTTCCCTGTAAACATTTAAATGAAATGGCACCCACTAAAAACAACCCGATGTCAACAAAAACCATCTTGCTGTCTTTTAAACGCGTCTAGTAGTTTCTGACGTTTTTTGAAAGATTATATGGTTTATTGTACTCTACCACTCCTCATAGAAAAATTGTTCTCTGGTGAAATAGGACGTTTTACTATTTTGTAACACTGAAAAAACTATTTCATTAAACTTAGAGTCATCAGGCCAAATTTACTTACAATTGAGATTTTACAAATTCTCAAGGAACGTTCGAATCAAGCGTATTGCAAATGAAATTTTTAATCAATAGAAATACCAATGAAAATTTGTGGAGCAGACGATCAATAGAACCTCAATGGAACGATCAAGGAGACGATCAAAAAAGAGACGATCAATTGAACCTACCGTCGCTTTCTTTTCTGCATCTCTCGGGACTTGAACCGGGTCATACCTTTGGGCTTGGTGGGGTGCAGTGATTGGCAGATACAGAAAGAGAGGCTTGCTTTCGAAATCATGCTCTGATATCAACTTGGTGGCCCTTGCTGAAAACGCACGCGTTGAGTAAATGCCCATTTCGTCCACTAAAATTGTCCGGTTAAATTTTCCTATGTCCAAGTGCCAGTCCAGTCCGAGATTTGCCTTCTCTCCGTCCCAATGACTCCAGAAGTCACCCTTGGCATTGTAGAGTCCATAGAATGTTTTGAAACCCCGGAATGTTGGCAGATATCTAAATGAACATGAAACTATGATGAGAACGGAGTTGAGACAATAGTCCAAACTTTTTGTCAATTTAGGAAAAATTTGATAATTTGGATCAGGGGTGAATCTAGGATTTTCTCGGTGGAGGCATTTATCAAAAAGTTTTCGAAAATTTTGACGAACTTTTTTAAACTCAATGGAGATATTATTTGGAGAACATTTTCTGCACCACTGGCAGATTTTCAAGAAAATCAGGCCAAAAAGCCGTTTTTAGGCAATTTTTTGAGATGCCGTTTTTTTTTGGCGGGCGCTCCCCTCACAGTTAGTTTATATAGCGCCAAAAGCGAGCCCTAAGAAAAATTTTAGGATCAATTGGTCGAGATTGAATGTCATAAGATAGTACTAAAAGGGGACCCTTTGGGTGCTGAAAGGGTCAAATCCCTGAATTGGGGGCAAACCATCTTCCAATTCAGCACCTGATTTGTATCCGCGCATAAAGTATAGACCAGAATAAGATCCTAACAATTTAATTAATCTTAACTAACGTATTACGATTTTCCCAGCATAAAACAATTTTTCCAGACTCTTCACTAGCATAAATGAGTTTTAAGAATGGGTGCCTGACGCCAAAAAACGGTTATAGTGCAAAAACTTATAAATGTAAAATATTGAGTTGGGACTGATGGTCTAACTCATAGAGTAATTTCAGATAAGGTACACCGTCTGCTCGTCACGCTATCTTATTTTCGGCCGGATAGATTCGTGCAACTTCTTAGTCTAATACTGGTCCTAATCTTACTCTTATATCTCTTAGTCTCAATAGATCTAGAGTATACTGGTTTGTTACGAGTTGGTCTCTTAGAAAAGGCAACTAAGCTGTAAGTTAAATTCAGAATGCTCTGGTGCTGAAATTACAAGTATTTTCAGCACTTACAAATAAGTTGGTTGTTAGTTGAGTGGAGTATGATTGTTTAGTCTTCAATATTTTATAGGGATAAAATATCTAATTTATAACCAATAATAATATACAGTTTGGATCAGGTTCCACCCATCCGGGTTTTACAGAGTTTTTGAATCTTTTATCTTCTATCTGTAATGAAGGACGGATGATGATCGTTGGTATTTGGCGAGCATCATTTCTTCTCCGAGGTCTTCTTCCAATACCAGGGAGTTCTCGTATTGTTCGGAATGATGGCTCTGATCTATTGAGTCGTAGAGACATTTCAATTAAATTATTGTCGTATAACATTTTTGTGAATGTTTTTGTCTAAGTCTAATCTATTTTTGTTAGTTCTAAAGTATTCTATTGCTTAAGGTCTTATTCGAGACTTATGGTCGTACCAGATGAGTTGGGACTGATGGTCTAACTCATAGAGTAATTTCAGATAAGGTACAACGTCTGCTCGTCACGCTATCGTATTTTCGGCCGGATAGATTCGTGCAACTTCTTAGTCTAATACCGATCTTAATCTTACTCTTATATCTCTTAGTCTCAATAGATCTAGAGTATACTGGTTTGTTACGAGTTGGTCTCTTGGAAAAGGCAACTAAGCTGTAATTTAAATTCAGGGTGTTGAAACAGCACCCTGAAGTAGTTTCAGCACTTACAAATAAGTGGGTTGTTAGTTAGGTGGAGTATGATTGGTTAGTCCTCAATATTTTATAGGGATAAAATATCTAATTTATAACCAATAATAATATACAGTTTGGATCAGGTTCCAATATTATTGCACAAGTTGGAAAATGTTGATGACTTTTTCAACAATAATGTTCAAATCACGCCTAAAATGGGGCACCATCTAAGGCAATTTTATTGGATACAATCTCAATGAGCTCAAAAAAATCAACTATTTCACGTGGGATGCCTTTGAAAAGCTATCGGGGATTGTCTTAAGCTCAAAATTACAAACTTCTTGAAGATATCGGGTTTTGCTCAGGGCAATTTCAGATTATTCATCCGCGGTATTTATCCGCATCCAAAGCACTTAATGGTTCCGAAATCTGTGTACTAATAGATGTTTATATATATATATATATGCATGCGACGCAGAAAGTTTGGCCAAAACAGCGTCTTTTTAGTGCTTTAGGAGAGCTCGGAAAATCAATTTAATTTAATCGACCTAAAAAAAAAAGGTCGACAAAATTTTAAAACATTTTTAGAAAATCCGCCCCCCCCCCTCGAGAAAATCCTAGATCCGCCCCTGTATATACATATGCTGTCTCACCAGCGGATTTAGGGGGAAGCGGTAGGAGGGTCGCATACGCCCCCTTTAGGGATTTGAACCCCTGCCGATACAAAGGGTCCCCCTTTTGTACTATTTTGAGATATCCATTTTTGGCTGACGCCATTTTTGCCTTTGGCGCCAAAATAAACAACTTTTGAGAGAGCGGAATTTTTTGGTCAAAATTTTTCAAAAAGGCTCTAAAAACGCCGTTTTTGGCCTTTTTTCAAAAAGTCGCCTCCGGCGCAGAAAACTTGGTCAAAATAAGGTTTTGTTATGATTTTGCAGAGCTCAAAACATCAAAATAGTTGACCTAAAAAAAATCCGGCCCCCACATTTGAAAAAGTCCTAGATCCGCTAGAAGTGCTGTCTACTGCTCCTTCATGAAAAGAAGCATTGGTTAAAACCAATACAACCTTACAATCCGACTGCTAGATTACTGAAAAACAAAAGTTGACCCCTTGGATCAAAACCTTAAGTGCTTAATTTAAAAATTCAAACCCGTACAAGTTTAGTAAACGAATTATCTCGTTAAATTTGAAAAATCGCAATCCAAGTGAATCCTTCTTATTTCAATTTCTTGTAGTTGCTGGTAATTTTTTTCTACTTCCGGACCACTAAACTTGCCTGATTTTATACGCTTCTTATTTAATTATAGATATAACAGGTCTTTTTTTGACCTTCAGTGTGATCCACTCTTTCGGAGTGATTTCGCTCGCTTTTTATCTAATGTCTTAACAAATAAGTATTTCACTTATTTTCATTTATTCTTAATTCTTGTCAGTATTTCAGCTATATCATTACAAAATTTTGTTATTTTGGCTGACCAATGATAAAATTTTTCGAAGGGTGCCTGTAGCGCAAATATACTTTAAAAATTGAAGTTGGAGCACGAGGTCTATAACGTCACCTATCGAACTAAATTTGTTGCACAAAATATCCGGAGACAAGCACTTAAACAAGTCCAAATTTTAAAGCTGATCAAATGCAAACAGTGGTCTCAAAAAATGCCTCGAATCGTAAGTTTTGTTGGCTCACAAAAATTTGCAATGAGAGATAAAATTTTATAAACTGAGCGAAAAAGTCAGAGAAAAGAACTAGGATTTCGAGCTGCTCGATGTATCAACCATTTGTTTTTGCATTCTACATCAGTAAAAAAAAATCATCTAATAAATAAATTGCCGAATATTTCATCTGTAAAATTCATTTTTCTGTGATCAATGAAATTTTATCTGAAAATACAACAAATTCGTTGTCAGTCAGGAAGATAAAAAATCAAGTATGCAACACTTTGTTCTCACACAGAAGAAATGCCTTCAATAGGGGGACTAGAATAAGCAAGAGTGGTGTAATTTATCTACTCACTCTTCTGCAAAATATCCTAGATGCCACTTGCCGACTGCGTGGTTCTCATATCCGAGATCGCTGAGGTGTTGGGGAAGAAGTTTCATGTCCAGGGGTACACCTACTCTCTGATCGTTGCGGATCATCGCAAACTGCAGACCTGTCCTGATCGGGTACCTACCTGACAGGTAAAAAACTATTAGAACACTTGATTCAGCTTGGAATCTTCTTATTATACGCACATCAAGGTTATGGTGAAAATTTAGTAGCTTCACAAAATTCTTTTTTCTTTTAAATAAAAAAACCGAAGCTGAATTTATTTATTGGACACTTTGAATAAATTTATTGAAGTTTAAGGTGTTTCTTTGGCTTCTCCCGGGAAACTAGAGAGTTATTTTTTGCGACTTCTGATAGAAGAAAAACTTTTGACGCATTTGATCTCTTCTTGCACAATATTATTGTTCCGACTTTCGATACGAAAGTAACGGAATATTTGTGCTCAGGGTGGGTTTTTTTTTTTCTTCAGACAAATTTCGACTTTTTAACTAGCCATTTTTGACCGAATTTTTTTATATCATTCAAAAGGTATTGTTGTCCTGAATTTAAATTTGAAAAGATATTTCACCTGTGATTTTTTTTCGTAAAGTTATGAGGGTTTAAAGATTGCCGTTTTGGCCATTTTGACCACTTTGGGACAATTAACGCGCAATATAATTCGCGCTATTAACGCGTAAGCGGAGATTTAATCCGTCTTATAAATCGTTCCAAATTGGTTAAAAGAAGCTTATTTGGCATAATTGATGTGTTACAAGGAACGAAAACTATCTTTTTGTACTTTATATGGCGCGTGGGGGGATGACTTTCATAACAAATTTCAAAATTTAGAAAATTTTTTTTTCATTTTATTTTATTTCATATAATGTTTTTATGTTATTACTGCTGCTCCATAAACCTTCAAAAGCAGTCGGAACATCAGGCTTCGCCCTGATACAAGCAGTCTTGTTTTCTTTTAAAAAAATGATGATTATGTGATACGGGGAAGGGATGAAACAAAATCAAGCTCTTTTACCAGACCCCCTGCGTTTTTTGTCATTTTTATTCACATTGTCTAAATATTAATATAAAACTTGGCATGTAGTTGATTTGGTAAACAATCTAATTTTGCACTTGCATGGAAGTTCATACAAATATTGGTTACACTGTGAAATTGACGTTTTTATCTGGCTGGGAGAGGAGCAACAGTAGAAAAACTTGAGATCATTATTTATTAGCGAGAGCAGCTGGTTGCTGTGCAAGTTGACCAAATCTTCTGACCACAGTGACAAATGACGACAAAATCGGCAAGTTTGAAAAAAAGGTTAATTGAAAAATATATTTTGTCGATTTATCTTATTTTCTTTATTTTCTCCAAGTGGACGAATTTATCTAATATTTCTCCAAAATAAAACAATTGTTATAAAGTGAACATCCTAAAAAACTGCCTCAATCATGGTATACAGATCTCTTTAAACCAAATTGGAATCTATTAAAGATTAAAATCATTACTACCGAAATTTGCTAAAAATTGATAGCAGCTGTTTTTCTTCCGACCATTTTATAAATGTGGAGGAACTTTGTATTCGGGTGCCATTTACTTTTTATTTTCTTCACGCAAAATCAGGTACAAAAAATATTCATCCGAATGGTTTGAAGGATATATAATGATAAAGCCTTTTCAGTGGGAATTTGGACGTCATTTAAAAATTAATAAAATTTTTTCTCCAGTATTGAGAAAAATCGGTTTAAAATTTTTGATTTTTCGTCCAATTTCCAGCAAGTAGCAAGTAAAGCGGGCGATCATGCTTATTTATGCTTAATGTAGGCCGTTTACACTCGCTTCTTTATGCTTAACTTTAGTTTTAATCGAGCATAATTAGTTTTTGGGTCTTTATTAACGCCTTTTTGAGAATGCTCTGCATGCTTGTTTTGAAAAAAAGCTGTGCATGGATAGCTAAAAAAAAGAAGATTTTTTTTTATTTTCTTAATGTTTGATTTTTAGAATTGTTGTCTAGTTTGCCTGTTTTACTATGGCTTTCGAATATGCCTAGGTTGTAGTTTTTTGTTTAGATTCTTTTATCACACCACGCAAAAAAAACGACACTAATTTGAAAGAAATAAGTTTGTGTTTTCTATGATGGTCGGAATTTTCTGTACTATCTTTGTTTTTCAATTGTAGCCTGTCAGTCGTGAGAAACAAATCATTATCCCATCATGATACATCACAGCAGATAAGCTTATAGACTCTTTTTCAGTCCCCCTCTTCGAGTTTTTTGGAAAATTAATATATGAAAACTTACTTAAAATGACTTTTCATGTTATAAACTGCATTGAAAAGTGTCAGCGTGAACCAGGTGAACAAATTTTCACAACATGTTTTACATGCAAAATGCCGTTTGAACAATTTTTGAACACCTTTAATTTGAAATTTTAAGAGGGGGTGAGAAACTGGAAAAGAGCCAGTTTATACCACTGAAAGGAAGCAAAATTTGGAAAAAAACAGCGGTTCAACACTGAAAAAAATATAATTGCACTGAAATAAATCGGTTATTTAAAAATTACTTGAGAAAATCAACTGAAACAAGGACAGAATTAAGCAACTAAAACATGCCGAAAGTCATACTGAGCTTACGAAAACTAGCCGAAAACCAACAGTAAATTTTTTGCCAAAAACAAAAACAAAAAAATGGTAAAAACAAAAAACTTGCATGGCTTGTTGGACTCTTTTTCCTCCCCCCCCGTCCTCACATATACACCAATTTTATGTTGTAACGAGGAGGTTTACAAGGTTAAGTATGGAGACCAAATATGTTTGTCATAGCCTAATTAGTCCGCATACCAATTTTTGTAACAATCCGATCATGTGAACAAAATTTTACTAATAAAATTTCGCTGGTGGGGGAAAAGGAAAAAGAGCCGCTTGTTGAACTGAACTTCAATTCAAATCAAGTTACTTGCTAATTAGAAATTTATTTGAAGTTACTTTCTATATTTTATAAAATTTCAAAATTTTAACTCAGCTTACTTTGATTCAGTTTTCCAAAGCATTTGATACCGTTGTTGCAAACTATGGATTTTGTTGGGTTTGTATTTTAATTGGTTTTGAATTTTCCCATTATTGCAAAAACTGGCAAGCCAACAAATTGGGTAACTTCATCCGGCTCTTTTTCCAAACCCCCCACCCCCGCGCAGGAACATCAATTTTATGTTGTAACGAGGGGTTTTAAAAAATTATAATGAAGACCAAATCAGCTTGTCATGGCCTAACTAGTCCACGTGCCAAACTATTTGTAACAATCGAATAAAGTGAACAGAAAAAGTGCCTATAAAATGTTTGGAGGAGAAAACAAAAAGAGCCATTGTGAAGTTCTTTAAGGTTCTATAGTAGGTCCACTGCTATTTTTGGTTTATATCAAAGACTTGTCCGATTGATTTGATCATTGCAAACAAACTATAATTTCAGACGACTGCATCATTATGAAATCAAAGAATTCTTTGTAACAACATAAACTAGACTGCAATTGTGTTGAAGATTAGTTCAATTAAAAAAATGTTAATGAAGACAAGTTTATAAAATTTGCCTTAATTAAGAAATGAGCTGAGGTGAAATTAATTAATAAAATTCCAGACATTGATCAGAAAAAAGTGTTAACTACATGAAACTAATGTCTGATCTCAGGAACTTTGACAACAGAAAATCGGCAAGGCGTCTTGGATTTGTTTTTGATAATAGTTTGAATGGCTCTTTTCCAGTTTCCCCCCTTTCAAATTCAATTTTGAAAAGCTTAATTTACGTTGTCCAAATGCAATGAAATTTGGCATGGTGAACAAATCGTCAACTGTGAACAGATTTGTTCTTCATGCTTAAAAGCGTAACATCACGCATTTAGCCGTAATAACACGTAAACAAACAAAAAGTTTGGTATTTTGAAAGGGGGGAACTGGAAAAGAGCCGTTTGAATTGTAGCGATTATGTGGAAAAAGAAAATCGCAAAAACATAACTTTCCGTTCTTAGACTTAGATTGTAATTCAAGCAGACGAAATTAATGTAGATCTACTGCATTTTAAATTGGGTTCTTCATTTGGAAAATTTGTATAACTCTGATCAGTTAATCTTAGAACGTGATTTTGTCAGGAATTTTGACGTAACGCAGATAAGAAGTATATTAAGCGACCGATGATTAAAATAATAACGGATAAAAACAAAATTTTTTTTGGACAGACAGTAACTAAAATCCAAGCAGGCAGTCGTAGTGACTCGTAGAATAAAAAGTTTGAGTCCACTGAGCGACAGTAAGCAAGAGCAAGTTTGCCTGGTGCCCAACCCTAACAGTCAAAGTTCAGTGATTTTAGGCCGGAGTTTTTCCATCACACGAAGAGGACTATGTGTGAGTGTATTGTTGGGTTCACACTGGACACACCGGTTTCAATCTATCCTGGAAGGAAACCTAGCTACGCTCTGACGATGGGGACGAATTATGCGGAGACGTTGAAACTCAGGTAGCATCCAGTAAAGACTGTCCTAATCATGCAACTAGAGATCTAGTTTTGAGAAGAATTAATGAATTTTGAGTTTTTTCAAAAAAATATTTTCATTGAAGTCTGAGACAGACGAAGGTTTTCCAAAAAATTGTACGGAGGGAACTGGAACTGAACCAAGCTTTGACCGTTCGGCTCTTTTCCAAATCCCCCTTTGATGTTTTCTGAAATTCAATATATAAAAGCCTATTTGAAATGACTTTTAATATTATAAAATGCGTTAAACGTGTCAGCGTAAACAGTTACACAAGTTTGTAGAGCATTTATAAGATGCAAAATGCCGTGAACTATTTTGAAACTGTTTTTTTTTGGTAATTTTACGAGGGGGTGGAGAACTGAAAAAGTGACGCTCTCTCATCATTTTCTATAGATTAGCGCCATAGACGGAGAAGAAAATATTTAGCATTTGGTGGCAAAAACGGGTGCCGTAAAATAGGTGTGTTGAAATTTTTGGGGAGAAGGCACCTTCCTAAATCTGACTGTGGGAAGTAGGGTTGAGCTGAGTCTGAGGGCCATTACGTAAAAAGGGTTCTTACAACGTTTCTCGGCTCTTTTTAAACGTTTCTCGGCTCTTTTTCCTCCCTCCACCGCCTGCGAAATTTGACAAGTAAGCAATTAGAAATTTTGGGCTCTTTTCCAGTTCCCCCTTTCGGCTCTTTTTCCTTCCCCCCCCACCTGCTAATTTTTATATTTGAAATTACTAATCACTGTCCGATTGTCATGAAAATTGACATGCAGACTAATTAGGCCATGACAAACATATTTGGTCGTAATAATTAACCTTGTAAAATCCCTCGTTATACCATAAAATTCATGTTTGAGTGTGGTGGGGGGGGGGGGAAAGGAAAAAGAGCCCCCCTTTCAAAATACCGAGTTTTATATTTGTTTTACGTGTTATTATGGCTAAATCCGTGATTTTTTCAGTTTTCCCCCTTCCCTTTCAAATTCAATTTTGAAAAGTCTATTTAACGTTGTCACAATGCAATGAAGATTGGCGTGATGAACAAGTCAACAATTCTGAACAGATGTGTTCTTCATAATTTACAGCATAACATCACGCATTTAGCCATAATAACACGTAAAACAAAACTAAAACTCGATATTTTGAAAGGAGGAAACTGGAAAAGAGCCAGATCGGACAATGTCATCAGAAGCTTTTTAGTAAAAAATTGCAGGTGGATGGGAAAGGAAAAACAAATTTTGTTCACATTGTTCGATTTTGATGAAAATTAACATACGGATAATTTAGGCCATGGCAAACATATTTGGTCTTCATAATTCAGGTTGTAAAACTATTCGTTGCACCGTAACATTGATGCTCGTGTGAGGTGGGGGGAGAGCCTAGATTTGTTATCCATACCTTACATCGTACATGTTCGTGTGAGGTTAGGGGAAGGAAAAAAGCCCGGTTCTCACATGCAATTTACTATATGAACAATTTTTGGTCCAATGTACGATGTAAGGTATGGATAACAAATCTAGGCTCTTCCCCCCTCCCCCCATCTCACACGAGGATCATTTCTATGGTGTAACGAATGGTTTTACAAGCTGAATTATGATGACCAATTATGTTTGCCATGGCCTATTTAGTCGGTATGCCTTTTTTCGTAGAAACAGACAATGTGAACAAAATTTTTAGTTTAATTTACTGTAAAACTTGGCAGGTGGGGGATGGAGGAAAAAGAGCCTTAATCTGTTCGCAATTTTCAGTCTGTTCACCATATTAAGTTTCAAAGCATTTGTAGAGCATGCAAATGTCTATCATATTATCCGTCACAACGTTAGAATATTATTCTGAATTGGAATTCAATTGTGGGTGGGTGTAACGTCGGGGATGTAACGTGGAAAAGAGACCATTATGAAATAACTTAGAGGGGATGTGAAACTGGCAAAAAAACTGAGGGGCTACAAGTTTTGGCTCTTTTCCAGTCCCCCCTTTCAAATTCAATTTTGAAAAGTCTATTTAACGTTGCTACAATGCAATGAAATTTGGCGTGGTGAACAAATCGACAATTCTCAACAGATTCTTTCTTCATACTTTACAGCGTAACATCACGCATTTAGCCGTAATAACACGTAAACTAAATTTGAATCGGTATTTTGAAAGGGGGGACTGGAAAAGAGCCCAAGTTTTGAGTAAAAAATGGAAAAGGGGGTTAAAATTTGTCATGTAATTTACCAGTCATCAGTGCTGCCCTACTAGGCGAGCACACCGGTTGCGCATAATAATTGTTCAGAATCAGACCCTCTTCCGCCAGCTTGTCAATATTCGGTGTCTTCACTTGCCGACTGCCGTGGAAGCCAACATCATTCCAGCCTAAATCATCCGCTAGTATGAACACAATGTTCGGCTGCGTGGCATCTCTTCTTGTTGAATGCTCAGAAGCGGTCGCAAGTGATGAAACAGCGAGGACGATAAGAGTTACTAAGGTAGTTGAGGCTTCTCTCAGCAGGATGCTTCTCGAGCACATATTTTAGTGGAACTTTTCTTATATTTTATTAATGAAATTAAATTGGAACAAGGTTTTTTTTATTTATTTACATTAAAAAACAAAAATGCTGTGAAGAGCAGCAATTCAAAGGAAAAAAACGACTTTCTAAAATTTACTGCCAATTAAAATTCCGGGAAATTACGATGATGACTCACGGCAACATTGGCTCTTGGTTCTTTTTCTTGGCTCTTCTTTCTTGTCCTGTACCTCGAATTGATGTAATGATCGGTTTTACAAACTTAATTACGTTGTTCAAAAAAGTTTGTCATATTTCAATTATTCCTGAGATAAGCTTTCATGATAAACACCGGGAAAAGTGAACAATCATTTCATTTTAAAAACTTCACAGCTGAAGGTAAGAAAAAAAGAGTCTTTTTCCCCACCTGCGACTTCTTGCTTTTCAAACTTGAGAAAAAAACGTCAGCTCTTTATCATTCCCCCCTCCCACATTTCAATTTCCCAATTTTCTCAGTTGTCTTACAAATTATTATGACTGTCTGCGTGATGTTACGTATTGTATGAAGAATAAATATATTCACAATAGTTAGTTTGGGCTTTTTTCCTTTTCCCCCCACCTGTAAGTTTTTTTTAATACTTGTTCACATTGTTCGATTGTAATGAAAATTGACATGCAGACTGACTTGGCCAAGACTAACATATTTGGTATTTATAATTAACCTTGTAAAACCACTCGTTAGACCATAAAAATGATGCTCGTGTGTGGTGGGGGAATCGGGAAGGAAAAAGAGCCCAGTTTGTTCACCATGCAAAATTTCATTCCATAAATAATAAGAAGTGTTCAAATACCACTGCCATACTAAAACTAACTAAGATAGGTTAAAAGAATAAAAAGTAATAGGTTGAACTAAAACTGACTTTTGTCTAAAGAGAACATATAGTGCCGCAAAGTCCAAAGGATTTCGGTTAGAATACAACTGACAAGTATCTAATTAGTTGCTAGAGTTCAAAGTTATTAGAATAAAACCCACGATCACAACATTCTCCAATGCAGGAAAAGTTTATATCTGCACGTGAAATAAGTAGTCAAAATCAAATTGGATTTAACCACAGAGTCTGTGCCCACATAGTCTTCCTACACGTGTCCCAATGTTCTTTATCTAATGACAATATTAACTCTGAATTAGCATAATAGAAACATTTGGTGCTGGGGGCATTCGTTTTTTGACTTTGCGATGGTGATGTGCCCGATGTTCTACTTGAAAGTGATGGTCCTCCTGCATTTGAGTCCTTCATTTGGATTGGCGAGTTTCTCTTTCTTCTGCTAACTCAATATTATTAACGTATTTGGAATGGTTGTAAGCTTAACTGAGTGCAGGGTCCGGTTTTCTCAGAACGTGACCATTATCGAGAGTTACCGCATGTTTGGTGTCTGAAATGGGTTTTTCCACCAAGGAGTTTAAGGTACTGTTGACCTTCCCTGCTATTCACGGTCTTCCTCTTCCATTTACTTCTTTGAGTGAAGGGGTTCGACAACAAAGCTCTCGATGCGAGCTGCATTGATTTGTCCGTCGGGTCGCTCTCGTAACCTTTATTGTCTGGTTTGGTCTCCTCCAAATAGCCCTGCTCCATAACATCGTCTTGGGCTTTCTTTCGTCATGATTGACTTCCCTTTATCTAAGTCAACCACTTGTGAAACTAAAGTTTTCCAGAAGGCGTTAGGCGATCTGATAAAATGTTTTAAGAAGGGTGTGCATCTAATGGATGGTAGCTTCGTTGAACGAAGGTTCCTTATGTTTGTTTTTATCGATTGCTGCATTCAAAGTTCGTTTGGGCTCGTTGAACGAAGTTGCCATTAACTTCACTTTGACAGTGTGAATTAGACGTTATATGACTCCATTGATCTGTGATCTCCCACCGTACATAAAATTGAACTAAAATTATCCTTCTTAGAAGTTCTTAAATCGTTGGAAAGAAAACACGATCCAAGGTCTGCTTTGATTGTTTTCAGAAATTCATGTAAACTGCAGTAACCCGTCCGAAATGTATTGAAGAGGCTGAAGTACTATTTACCACTTTCGCGGAAGGAAATTTAGTAAATCCATCAATGCATAAAAGTAAAATCTTTGATGTGCACCAATTTTTATCCAACGGACCTGCGGATTCCAGGTTTTATTTCTTTGTTAGCTTCCGATAAATCTAATAAATTCTGAGTATTAGCCGAACCCAAAATAATTTTAAGTTTCTAAACGGCTTTTATACGCTGGGCACAACTTTTTCCTTGGTGTTAAGTTTTTTGGTATAATTGAGGCCACCAAATGTTCTCCGCCAGTGCTCGCATGCCAAACTAATTTTTTCTTGGTCAGCCTCAATCAGTAGTAGTTTATTTGAGCGATGGTCGATAAACACTAATGGGGATGATGGTAGTTTTAACTCATCCTCATACGTCGTAAGTAATTTCTGATGGATTTGGGACATAATATTGTTTTAAATTTTTTGTTTTTTTTTCTTGTTTTTCTGAAAGTTTTGATAATTTTAAAAAACGTATAAACAAGAGGTTTGAGAAGCTTAAAATTTTTCTTCCTGTTTTAAATTTGATAAACAGGATGATTAAGATAGTATCAAAAAATAATAAATGAGATTTGTCAGATAAGTTATTTTGTTTGATAATAAGTTTGGAAAAATGTAGAGGATTGCAATGGTCGTAGAAGACTCTGAACGCGAGTGATTAGAATTGCAAATTCGAACTATGTCTGTGACGTTATTATGAACATTCGCAAAGAATAACCGCTGGTTGTGTTGTAAATTTTCATTCCTTCCGACCATTGGATATATACAATCCAATCTTGTGATACTGTTCAAACTGTGTACATCCACTAGAATACTAATCAGCAAATTGTTCTTTGTACAATTCTTCTTTTTTCAGTCACTATTTACTGGAAGATAAGTTTTCTGAAATCTGGTTGATCATCGCCACTTTAAAATTGTTGTTGTCATAATGTCATAATGTAAAGTTGGGAGGGCTTTTTGGGTAAGTTGTCGCTTCCCAGGATGTTTTTCCTTGTTTCTGGGGGTTTTAAAAATGGGTTTTCCTCTGATATCTATCTATTGGAGAAAATTTTGACCGAAACTTTTCCAATTATGTTTTTTGTATCGTTGATGAAGCCGCAGTATACTGCCCGGATTTTCTTATCCACGAGAGAATCTTCAAATATGGGCCTGTCAATTTTAGCTCATGCAACGCGTTCGGTTTAAAAAAGTACTGGACTTGCCGAATCCACGGGAATGCTCATATTTACAATTGCGTCATCACCTAGTCCGATATTTACAAATTTCATCGTTTCTATGCAGTTGTCATCGTAGATCGTTTGTATGTTCAGCACCGAGTAATCATCATTGGTGCCTTTTCCCTCTTCTGTTCAAGTGTTTATCACTCTACAAAATTTTTCTTCTTGGTTCGAATGTGGATCCAATGGGGAATATGGAAATTTCTGATTATAAACACTTTCGTCTACACTATTTACAACTGGCTTAATCCTTTTTGATTTACAAAGTCTCCCAAAGTGTCCTCTACTTTTACAAAAACTAAGTTTGTTTCTTTTGCTGGGCAAACCTTCAAGTGTACTTTGGTAAAAGCATTTCCACAATTCATACAAGAGTTTAATTTTTCTCTTTTCAGACTTGGTTCCTTTTTTACAAAATCAATTTTTTGTACATCATGCCGCTGCTGCTGTTGTTAGCCCTCGTCATGTTCGTCAATTCCAAGTGGTTATAGTAGTCCTTCTCGTCGATAATTGCCTGGTTGAATGCATCCACTGGATTTAGTGTTTCCGATAAGAATTTCCGCTCGAGGTCACAGTTTCTCATATTGTATATGAATACGTCTCCTATCCACTCTAGTTCTGCGTTAATTCCTTTTTCGCACGTTCACCAAAAAGTGCACCCCAAAATTGTTCATAGGAGTCTCTGTCCTTTTGTGTTCGGCTCAATAGTTGGTACCGTTCAAATGTAAAGTTCACTGGTTAAATGCTGAATCCAGAAGATCGAAAAATTCTTTGAAAGATATGGATAAAACTTTCACACTTGGGTGTTTTTGTGAGAACACTCTTTTCCCCTCATCTCCTAGGGCCGATTAAAGGATGAATCTGACTTTTTTGTCAGCTTCGTTTCTCCTGATCTCACCAAATTTTCGTTTTTTCGCGATTATTTTTGTCCTCCGCAATTTCATAGACTCGCATTACTTCTTTGTTGGTTGCCTCCCTGGCTTTCCTTTGAGTTTTCAATTTCTGAATCCTGTGAGCCTTTCAAAATGGGGATTTCCGTTTTCGACACCAATGGTTCTTCCATGTTGCCTATCTCCAAATTCTCTTTGGCGACGATGGCCAAGTGTAAGTATTCAATCCAATTTGTCCATTGGGGGTAGTTTTGCAGTATGGTTTGGCCAAAAGGCGAGGATTCTCCGTAGATTCGAATCAGTGGACTGCGCCATTATAAGAAAGGTTCAAATACCACTGGTGTACTAAATCTAACTAAGCTAGATTAGGAGAATAAAAAGTAAAACGTTGAATTAAAATTGACTTTTGTCTAAAGAGAACATATGGTGCCGCGAAGTCAAATGAACTTCGGTTACAACACAACTGACAGGTATTTAATTATTTGCTAGAGTTCAAAGTTATTAGAATAAAACACACGATCACAACAATTATGAGATCAAAAAATTTTAAAATTAATTTTCCAAAACTGAAAATCAAAGAAGTTTTTTTTTAATCTGAAAGGTTTTTTTAGACTAAGACTCTGGTATCTTCATATTCCAATTTGATTTCTATTCCAGAAATCAAAGCCAGGACTCATTTTTTCCTCCGGAAATCCTCGAAGCAGGTTGAGGCATGCAAATGATCAGGGCGGCTTTAACTAGGAAAAATTTAACATGACTAAGATTTAACTGACCAATTTTATTCGATCGCGAGGCCAAGGAACGACCCAACGATGCAGAGAGCTGTGTTTGAGCATATTCTGGTGGC